TGTGTGATTTGAGCTTTAGTAATGTTTCTTTTACAAATGTGGGTGCTTTTATTTGGGGCATAGATGTTCAGTATAGGGACTTCATCTTGACAGACTTTTCCTGTGATGAGTATGAAATGCCCTTCTTCATCTCTTTTGATTTTAGTTTGAAGTCTAATTTGTTAGATACTAGGGTTGCTACACCCAATTGTTTCTTGGGTCCATTTGATTGGAAAATCTTTTCCCAACCCTTTATTCTGAGGTACAATCTGTCTTTGAAGTTGAGATGTATTTCTTGTATGCAGCAGAAAGATGGCTTCTGTCTTTGTATCCATTCTGTTAGCCTGTATCTTTTTATAGGCAAGTTAAGACCATTGACATTGAGGAATATTAATGACCATTGATTGTTGATTCTTGTTTGTTTTGGATTTGTTGGTTGTGGTGTTATTGTGTGTGGATTTCCCCACTTTTTTTTTGGTGTTTAGTAAGATGGGATTATCTATTGCCTACAATGTTTTTGAGCGTAGTTATCTTCATTACATTGGAGTTTTCCTTCCATTAATTTCTGTAGGGCTGGATTTGTGGATATGTATTGCTTAAATTTGGTTTTGTCATGGAATATCTTGTTTTCTCCATCTATAGTGATTGAAAGCTTTGCTGGATACAGTAGTCTGGGCTGACATCCATGTTCCCTTAGAGTTTGTAGAACATCTATCCAGGATCTTCTGCCCTTCAGAGTTTCCATTGAGAAGTCAGGTGTAATTCAGATAGGTTTGCCTTTGTATGGTACTTGGCCTTTTTCTTTTGCTGCTCTTAATATTTTTTCTTTATTCTGTAAGTTTGGTGTTTTATTATGTGGTGAGGGGACTTCTTTTTGTGGTCTAGTCTATTTGGTATTCTGTAAGCGTCTTGTACTTTCATAGGCATGTCCTTCTTTAGGTTGGGGAAGTTTTCTTAGATGATTTTGTTGAATAAGTTTTCTGTACCTTTGAGCTGAATTTCTTTGCCTTCTTCTATACCTATTATTCTTAGGTTTGGTCTTTTCACGGTGTCCCATATTTCGGGGATATTTTATGTTAGAGATTTGTTGGATTTGAAATTTTCTTTGATCCATGACTGTACTCTAGTGAGTCTTCAACACCTGAGATTCTCTCTTCCATCTCTTGTATTCTATTGGTTATGCTTACATCAGTGGTTCCTGATCGTTTACCAAGCTTTTCTATTTCCAGCATCCCCTCATTCTGTGTTTTCTTTATTGTTTCTAATTGTGCTTTCAAACCATGAACTGTTTGAATTGTTTCCTCCACTTGTTTGGTTGTTTTTTCTTGGTTTTCTTCAGGTTCTTTAAGGGATTAGTTTATTTCTTGAATTTTTTGGTTTGTCTTTTCCTCCATTTCATGTAATTTTTGCTTGTTTTTTTCTTCTATTTTTTAAGGGATTTTCTTGTTTCCTCTTTAATGGTGTCTATCATCTTCATAAGATCATTTTTAAGGTCCATCTCTTCTTCATCCTCTACGTTGGGCTTTAAAGTTCTTGCTGGAGTGGAGTCCCTAGATTCTGGTGGTGTCATATTGGTTTTTCTGACATTGAGTGTGTTCTTACTCTGTCGACTTCTCATCCCTTCTTTCAGTGGGTGCAGGTGGCATCTCTCTCCCTCTCTCAGGTGGAAGGCAGAGGGCTCAGGCTCAGGCAGCAGCCGCAGGACAGAGGGCAGTGGGTGGACAAGCGTGAGGTGTGTCCATACTCAGGGTGGGCCTTCTGGTCTGGACAGGTCCAGTCTTGTCCAGGGAGGGGGGTGCTCAGGCATAAGTGAGCAGGGGTTGATGGGGGAGGTTGTGGAGCAGGGCAGCGCCCAGACTCACCTGAGGCTCGGGCGCCAAACTGGAGGACAGGGCAGAGCAGACTTTTTGTTTTTGTTTTAATAAAGTAACTTTGAACTTTTCTTCTTTTTCTGGTTACTTAAGGTATAACATTAGGCTCTTTACTTGATTATATTTCTTTTCTTTGTTAAACAATATTTTTGTGCACATATGTATGTGGCTATGCATGATGTACAAGTACATGTATGTGGTTCTCAAAGACTGGACTTACATGTTCAGGCTTGGCAGCAAGTGCCTTTATGAACCAAGGCATCTCACTGAGCACTCTGTCTCTTTTCAGGTAGCTGTTTATAGCTAAAACTGCTCCTCTGAGAACATCTTTTGTGGCGTTCTGCAAGCTTTGGTATGCTGTTTCAGTATGTGTGTCCTAACATATCTTGTGTCATGTGTCATGTGTCATGTGTCGTCTTCACACATGAAACACAGCATGGGTAGTCCTCAGGGTTTGTTTGGTGGAATGTTCTGTGTGCCCCTGGGTTCACGTAGTCTCAAGGGTAGTGGAGGTCTGCGGCTCCCCCACTGACTTTTCTGTGTGAACAATCTGTTTATTGCTGCTGCTAGGGTGCTAAAGCTCCCGCTTTAGAACAATTGAAGATACTTGCTCTGTTCCAAATCTCTTATTTATATTGCCTTACCTGCCTAGGTGCTTGGAGGTTGGGTACATTTCTGTTAACAACTACTATGTCCTCTTGGCAAATTGACCTTTTATCATTGTGCAACGACTCTTTATCTTCGTGGAATTTTTACTTAAAGTCTATTTTTCACCCTAAGTATAGTGACCCTGCTGTCTTTCTGTTTACATTTGCATGGGATGAGTATTCTTTTGCTGTGTCTATCTTTATGGGACGAGAACCCATTACAGACAGCATGCATAATTGAGTGTGCGAGAGCATTTCAGTCCGTTCATCTCCTCTGTTCTTAATAGAGGTCTATGTTTAAGGAGATCATTGGTAGTAAGGACTTATAACTGTCATTTTGCTAATTAGTTGGGGATTAATTTGTAGATAATTTATTCCTTGGATTATTCTCCTGTCTCTTTTTATACTTGGAGAATCTTTATTGAAAATGTAACTCGATTCCTTACCCTTTATTGTGTATATATTCCATGCTTTTGCCTTGTTGTTAACACAAGGCTACATAAATAGTTGGATGGGTTGTTTTACACTGACAACTTTGATTGTGCACAACTCTACATATCCACTTCAATCCCTCACACACACTGTTTTGATCCCACAATTCATCTTTTATACTGTATACTCCTTGGGAATTTAGTACATTTAAGATTTCTTTATGTGAGTCTCCCCTGCATGTGTGTGTGTGCACCACCACATGCATGCAGGACCCAAAGCAGTCAGAAGAGGGCATTAGATGGTTGTCACAGGTGGTTGTGAGTCACCATGTGGGTGCTGGTAGTGGAACCCTGGTCTTCTGCAAGAGCAGCAAGTCCCCCTGACCCCTGAGCCATCCCTCCAGCCCCCGTAACAAAGTATTATAGCAATCATCTTTAATGGCTTCACCCTAAAGATGTGTGATTGGTGCCATATTAATGCAGCATTCAGGTGTTCCCGCTTTGGCTATTTGCCTAATACATGAAAGTACAAAACTCATTGGGAAACATTTTCCTTTTCTTTTAGCTTCTAGAATCCATACAGCATTTCTTGAAAAACAGCTTTTGTTTGTTTGTGAGTCTTTGGCTGTCTGTCACTTCTGAAGGCCCGGCTTCTTGTGAGTTTCCTTCCTTCGGCACTGTGTTAGTCATTTTGGTTGCTGTGGCAAATGTAAAGGAAATTCGTTTTAGCTTACTGTTCCAGTCTGCCCCCGGGGAAGGTGTGGTGCAATGGCCCAGTCCACTAAGGTGCTGAGTGGCCGCAGCTGTTGACACCACGATGGACACAATGAGTACTGACTGGTTGGGACCTGACGCCAGACTCTGATCTTCACAGGGACTTCTGCCCCAGTGGTGTCCTCCTACCTCCTGGGCTCCGTCCTGTCCCAGACAGTGCACCTGCCTTGGAAGCTCTAGCCTTGTGGGGGACATTTCAGATTCAAATCTCAGAAGGCTCTCTATGTCATCCCTCCTCCCCTCTTAAGGGTTTTGCTGACGTTAAGGAAGTCACTAAGCTTACGCATAAGCCATACTTTTAACAGTTTGGTTTCACTGAGCCTTGGGTGTAGTCTCTTTTGGATTGAATCTGTTTGGCTACCTCTAACCTTTTGTGCGTGGTTATAAAGCTTGCTCAATATTTAGAACTCCTATTTTTAAAACAAGCTTCCTGCTGCCCCTCTCCCTAGAAGTTGTATATTCTGTTTTTTTGATTGGGTCCCATAAATCTAATGTGCTGGCCTTCTTTTTGTGTTTTTTTCCATCTACGTAGGTTTTCATATAACCTGTTTTTGAGCTCTCAAATTCTGTTGTGTGATAGCAAATAGTGGTGTCAACTAATGAGATTTAGGGTCACCATAGGACAGGCTTTCTGGACATGTCCGTGAGTGCTTGTCATCTGGAGTAGCTTAACTGAGCTGGGAAGGCCCCACCCTAGTGTGGGCAGCAGGGCTCTTGGGCTGTGGTCCTGAACAGAATGAGAAGGAGAAAGCCAGCTCGAGCTCTTGGGCTGTGGTCATGGACAGAATGAAAAGGAGAAAGCCAGCTCGTGCTCTTTTCTTTTTTTTTTTTTTTTTTTTTGGTTTTTCGAAAAAGGGTTTTTTTGGGTAGCTTTGGAGCCTATCCTGGCACTCGCTCTGTCGACCAGGATGGCCCCGAACTCACAGAGATCCGCCTGACTCTGCCTCCCGAGTGCTGGGATTAAAGGTGTGCGTCACCAACGCCCGGCCCCAGCTCGAGCCCTTGGGCTGTGGTCATGGACAGAATGAAAAGGAGAAAGCCAGCTCGAGCTCTTGGGCTGTGGTCATGGACAGAATGAAAAGGAGAAAGCCAGCTCAAGACCCAGGTTCTTGCTCACTGCTTCCCGACTGCCGATGCAGCGGTCAACAGCCACCTCCTGTTCTGCCTCCGCACCTCATTGTCTCAGTCACGGTTTCTATTGCAGCAATGACCAAAAGCAAGTTGGGGAGGAAGGGGTTAATTTGGCCTACACTTCCACATCACTGTTCATCATTGAAGAAAGTCGGGACGGGAACTCAAACAGGGCAGGATCCTGGAGGCAGGAGCGGATGCAGAGGCCATGGAGGGTGCCTCTTACTGACTTGCTACCCATGGCTTGCTCAGAACCCTGCTTTCTTACAGAATCCAGGATCACCAGCCCAGGGATGGCATTGCCAACAATGGGCTGGGCCCTCCCCATCAATCACTTAGGTTAGGGTGTCCCTGAAGCCTGAAGCTGCAGTGCTGGGGAGAGGTTGGGGCCTAAGGCTACTGGATCCTGAACAGACTCAGAGCCTGAACTGCTGGGATTGGCCTGGCTGTGGGATCTAGCCAAGGGCCGCAGCAAGCACTAAGCCAAGGACCTTGGAACCTGGGGTTGTGAGGATTGGCCTTTGCTGGCAGGGACTAGCCTGAAGCCCGAGTTTCCAGAAGCTGCCATGATGCTTGGGACAGGCTTGAGTTTACTAGGGGCTGAGCACGAGGGTGGAGAAGACCTGGAAACCAAAGAGACAGACATGACTGGAGTCCGGAGGCTAGTCCCGGAGCACCAGTCTGGAGTCTGGTGTCATGGAGTTGTG